GCATCACCCACAGTCGCCTGACGTCCATCACCTCCACTCTCTTCCCCAAGGGGAGCCGCAGCGTCGTCCCCCGAGACATGCCGCTCAATATCTTCGTCAAGATCATCCAGTTTATCGCGCAGGTGTGTTGGACATTCTCAAAGCCGACAACGATATTACTAGTACTGTGAATGTGTTTCAACACCTGGGACATCTGTTTGTGCTCAGGAGAGGTTGGACTTTGCTATGAAGGAGATTATATTTGATCTTCTGAGTGTGGGGAAGCCTGCCAAAGCCTTCAGCCTCAACCCAGAGGTATGAATCGCTTTTATTGGACAGATATTCCTCTGTTTTTCACCAAGAAGGCATGCATCATCACTAGAGATAGGTTCTTTTTAATGTCAGAGGTACATACAGGTTGCTGACTTTATATTTTTTTGTATTCAAAAGAACATATATACAGTGTTTTAGGGAGTGATTTATTTTGTGGGTTGACATATCTTTTATTATTCTGACAATAATAGTCATAAATTCCTCTCTGTTCCACCTCAGCGTATGAACATCGGCCTGCGAGCTTTCCTGGTCATCGCCGATGCCCTCCAACAGAAAGACGGCGAGCCTCCCATGCCCAACACGGGCGCCACGCTGCCCTCGGGCAACTCCCTGAAGAAGAAGAAAACCTACCTCAGCAAGACCCTCACAGAGGAGGAGGCCAAGCTCATAGGCATGTCCTTGTACTACTCGCAGGTGCGCAAGGCCTTGGATAACATCCTCAGGCACCTGGACAAGGAAGTGGGACGCTGCATGATGCTCACAAGCGTGCAGATGCTGAACAAAGAACCGGAGGACATGATCACGTATGTGACGTCAAATATGTTTGTTCATGTTTTTTCAATTTCAGTTTGTGGTGATTGAATGTAAAAGAAATGAGCAATACATTTCCTGTTGTGAAATGTATTGCTTGTTTCAGTCTCTTTTAGTTCATTTGTATTCATTAATGACGTCAATTATTTGAACATAATAAGGAATAATTGTTTTGTGTTGGAGTGTTTTTGTAGTGTGTTTCATTGCTCTTTATAATGAACAGGGGTGAAAGGAAGCCGAAAATTGACCTGTTCCGGACGTGTGTCGCCGCCATTCCTCGTATCCTCCCTGATGGAATGTCCAAACCCGAGCTCATCGATCTTCTCTCACGGTGGGCTGTGTGACAGTGTCTGGTTGTGTTTTGTGTCTACATCCTTTTTTTTTT